GGGTGTCGTCACTCACAATTGTGATGGCTTTGCGAGTGAGGCGTGTGGTGTACAGGTCCGTTAGTGAGGGGAGTGGAGCACCAATGATCTTTCTAGCTGTGTTCACTATGCGCTGCAGGGCTCTCCTGTTGTAGTCAGTGCAGCTCCCGCCCCACACAGTGATGCAGCTTGAAAGAATGCTTTCGATGGTTCCTCTGTAGAAAATCTAGTGCTGCTCACTCTCTCCACAGCAGCACCGTCGGTGGTCAGTGGTGGGTGTTCGGCGCGGCATCTCTGGAAGTTGATGACAATTTTCCTTCGTCTTGCTGACATTCAGCACGAGGTTATTGTCTTTACACCACGTGGTAAGAAGGTCCACCTCTTTCCTGTAGTGAGTCTCGTCACAGTTCAGATCACAGTGAAAGATTAGTTCATAGAGAGTATTTTGTTCGCAGTGAGTGATTTGTGAGTGATTCGTGAGTTCAATATGAATAAATATTTAATATGACTCGGTAGTCACGAGTCACGAATCTTTCATATGACTCGGGAGTCACGACTCATATGAAAGATTCATTTTGAACGAATCACTCACGAAACGACACAGCACTACATAATGAGAGTTCGTGGCACTTAAGTAAGAGGCTCCAGTTTCGAAAGAAAGTTTCCAAAGAAATGACCAGTTGTTGCAGAATTACACACAGGAATATGACCGCTCAGCGTGTAATTTTCCATGTAGTAATATCATCTATACCAAAAACAGTGATTGATCTGGTTGGTCCTGTTGGGTTGCTATAATTTTGAACACAACTGTAGGTCTAGTGATGTCACTAAAATAAAACATTGCAGTCATCACTAAAGTTAGCATCATGACAGTAACAAAACACCTACAAAACAGCCAATTCTTTTTAGATCCAACAGACCTTATGCTTCTTCTCTGGCATCGGTATGTACTTATCTGCCACTCCTGCCATACCTCCACAAGTGTATCAATAATTGTATATCTATTATTATTTAGTGCACCTTATTGTAGGAACGTCCTTGGTCATGCTCCCCTGGTGGAAATGAGTTTGACACCTAGGCCCTAGGTAATCCATATAGCTGTGATTTGGTCCGATAAATGGTAATATTGTCAACATTATTCTAAGACCAAATTAGCCACTAATTTAATGAGAATACAGTATATCACAACAATGGAAGTACACCCTTTCAAAAGCAATAAAACTAGTATTTAAGTATTTTTATCGATTCTGAGACCTGTCTGTCATCTCTGACTCAAACCTTCTGAATGTCCTCCCTCACTGCATCCATATATCTCCTCTTTGGCCTTCCTCTTTATCTCCTACCTGGTAGCTCCATCTCTAGCATTCTTCTACCAATGTATCCACTGTCCCTCCTCTGCACATGTCCAAACCATCTCAATCTTGCTTCTCTAGCCTTTTCTCCAAACCTTC